GAGCTTGTCAGGAAAGTGCTGTGCCACTGAGCTATATTCCTGGAAACCTCTGAACATATTTTAAATGGCGAATAAATGACAGTAATATTCTAAAAGTTGTGGAAGTTCAAAAAAACTCAACAACGCTTGGGGCCGGGGAGATGGCTCAGTAGGATAAGCGCTTGACTGGCAAACGTGAAAGATCTGAGTTCAATCCCTGGTTCCACCAAAAACAAAAACAAAAACAAAAACAAAAACAAAAAACAAACCTCAACAACCCAAGGAGACTATGCAAATTATCAATAATTCAATACTCTAATGCTATTTTGACTTTTTGACTCGAGTGCTTTAGAAAGATTAACCTAGATGCAATGTAAAATCTATCTAACTTCAAAGACTAACATATTCCTTTGGGAAAGTGCTCTTTCCTTGGATTTTTTTTTGGGTGGAACCGGGGATTGAACTCAGGCCCCTGTGCTTGCCAGGGAAGCACTTATTTCACTGAGCCATCTTCTCAGCCTTTTCCTTGGATTTTTAACTATCTGCATTTACAGAAAAACTGGAGACAACCGTACAGTTAAAGCTGAACTAACTTCAAGAGGAATGATTGTCTTTTGGTTTTGATAAAGTTCATACCAAATGATTATATAAGATCAATAACTTTTCTACTGGAAAAGTAGTACTTTATCCACAGTATTTTATTTTATCCATTTGCCAAACTGATTATGTATCATCTTTGACTTTGAAGAAAGGTGATTTTAGTTAAGACTATTATTACTACCATTACTATCTCAAATGGGCAGGGGAAAACAGCATCAGTGCCAAAATGAAAGGAACTCCAGTGATTCAACAAAAGACAATGTCAGGGCGAGAAACAGGGAGGCAGAATGCATTTGGTTTTCAGCTTTATGCTGAGGCTTAGACAAAGTCTTAAACTAAAAAATTAATATAGCAAGTATTATACTTCATTTATAGCAAAGTTTTCATGAACAGAATAATCTCATGTTCAGATTTATCAGATTACCAATGTTCAAGTAGATATATCAGCGGGATATGGTGGCACATGCCCGTAACCACAGCACTTAGGAGGCTGAGGCAGGAAGATTGCCATGAGTTCAAAACTGGCCTGTACTACCCAATGAGACCCTGTCTTAAACAAAACAAACCAAAACAAACAAACAAAAAAACCCACAAAACAAAAGACATGTCCCAGTGCAGTGGTTTTAATTAAACACTCAGTTACCTAAAGGTGTGACTGTATTACCAGTGTCCTTGCCAACCTGCTACTATATGATTTGCATAATTAACTCAACCCTAACAGCTATAGGGTACTGGAGAATTCAAACGTACTTCAGCAGCTTTGAATTGCTTAATTTCAATTATGTTTACTCATAATTTTACCTCCTCCAAAATGATGGCTTCAAAAAAGAGAAACAAAAAACTGCATACTAGTACAAAAAGAATAAAAAACAAAAATTTAGTATTTTTCATTCAGAGGGAGGGACTGGGGAGGGGAGGGAAGGCTTACTTTTCATCACTGATTTCATCAGCAAATCTCAAAAACTCAAACCTGTAACAAATAATTTAAACAGAAGTGGCATTTTCTTCATCTGGAATGCAAAATGCACATTCACAAACTTACATATACATAAATATATACATATATGTTTCCTTTACAAAGCTTCAAAGGTTGCATAACCAGCACGCAAACCTCTTCTTCCATGGAAATGCCTAATACTGACAAGGAATGTCTAAAATACTTGAGACATTTTCAGAAAACTGGACTCTTTTCTTGGCTTTTTCTGCCAAACTTCTACCAATGGTTTAAAAAAAAATTTACACCTACATTGGTAATACACATTTAAAACATACTAACAAAATGGCTGGCTTAAATTCAGAAAAAGAAAAAGAAAACAGCCCACAACAAAATCTTAAACCCTTAGAATGCGGAGTTAGCTTTTGTATTCTTTTTCAGCCACATAATGTTGCATCACTGTTAAATCAGAAGCAGCATGTCATCCAAGATATTTGCAAATAATATGTCACGTTTCCCAGCTGCTGTCTTTAAATGCAATTTGTACTAATCTGAGTTCTAATTCAAAAGCATCTGGGCGATCCTGAGGGTTCGCAGCCAGCATCTCCTTAATCAGTTGTTTCATTCGCCCATTCATAGATTTTTTCTTCACAGGAATGAGAAGTTCCATTTTGGGATTTTCCAGAAGTGCCTCCCCAACAGGCACAATCTCAGTTCCTTGTTTTACATAACTCCCCAAGAGTTCTTTCTTTGTCTCTGTGTCTATGAATGTGATCCTTTCCAGCATGGCCCAGATGATGATCCCCAGAGCAAAGATGTCTGCTTTCGCTGTATAGTGTCCTTCCCACACTTCAGGAGCCATGTAGAAATCAGTTCCACAGGCGGTAGAAAGGAAGCACTTGTTTACACTCACAGGTTCTTCTGGATTTTGCCCAGAGGCTGAACAAACTTTACTTAGACCAAAATCTGCCACTTTCAGTGTAGGTTCCAAGTCACTTGTATCCAACCTGCTTTGAGAAATCAGGATGTTATCAGGCTTCAGATCTCGGTGGATGATCTGGTTTTTGTGCAAGAAAGCCAGAGCACTGCTTAGCTGAAGCATGAAGCTGGTATTAGTTTTACGATTGGGCTTTCTGGACAGCAGATATTCATTCATATCTCCTCCATCACAAAAATCCATTACAAACCACAAATAATAGGCGCTTCTGGGATCAAAGGCAATTTCTCCTTTTAATGAAGTCTCTACAAGCTATAAGGAAAAAAGAAACATTACGATCATCTGCATAGATTATACAATTCAATTATAGAAAAATAGCTGTTTCAAAGGTTAAGTCAGTCCTTAGTTTGGTTTGGGTAGTGCTGGGGACAGAACCCAGGTCCTGCACATGCTAGGCAAGTGCTCTACCACTAAGATATACCCCTAGCCCTAAATCCCCAATTTTAGGTAGAAACTCCATGAATATTTTATCAGTACTTTCATATGTGCATTTTCAAATTTAGTATTTCAGTGGCATTTTGTTCCTAATGAATATATACCAAATCTCCTAGTTAAGAGGTAAAAACTTTTTTTTGGCGCCTACAGGGATCAAACTTGAAACCTGGCACTTGCCAGGCAGGCGCTTATGCCGCAGAGCTATCTCCCGGCCCAAGAGGTAAAACTTTATTTTTATTTATTTCTTTTTAAAGTGAAATTTTTTTCTTTTTGGACTATTTGTACTTTTTTTTTTTTGGTGGAACCAGGGATTGAACTCAGGCCCTTATGTTTGCTGAGGAAGCGCTTATTCTACTGAGCCATCTCCCTGGCCCTTGAGGTAAAACTTTAAAAGCTGATTTTAAAAAATGTCTAGCAGAACTGGGTGTGGTGATGCACACACCTAATCCCAGCACTGGAGGCTGAGGTAGGAGGATCACTGCAAGTTTGAGACCACTGTGGGCTACAAAGATCATGGCTTGCCTGAACTGCAAAGTGAGACTCTATCTCAAAGACAAAAAAGGACTGCTGAGATAGCTCAGTGGGCTAAGGGCCTGCTTAGCAGGGTAAGTGCAGGGACTGGGGTTCAATCCCCTGTACTGCATGCTAAGCAGGCCCTGCCCCTGGGCACACTGAGCCTGCCACAGAGTCCAGGCATAGTGGCGCACGCCTGTACTTCCAGGGCTGGGAAGGCTGAAAACAAGAGGATCATTATAAGTCCAAGTTGCATAGTGAGACTCTGTACCAAATACATTAAAAAAAAAAAAAAAAAAAAAAAAGCTAGCTAAATTTGGTGGCATATGCCCATAACCCCAACACTAAGGTTGAGCCAGGAGGATCACTGCCATTTCAAAGCTGGTCTGGGACACATAATGAGTTCAAGGGCAGCTTGAACTGCACAGTGAGACCTTGTCTCAAAAAAAAAAGTTTTGGGGGCTGGGGAGATGGCTCAGTAGAATAAGTACTTCCTTGGCAAGCGCAAGGGCCTGAGTTCAATCCCCAGTTCTGCCAAAAACAAAAACAAAAACAAAAAACTGCACCAAAAAAACCCAAAAAACCCAAGACAAGGTTCCGCAAAAACAAACAAACAAAAAAACCTATGAAGGGCTAGGGAGATAGCTCAGTAGAATAAGCAGTTACGTGGCAAGCACAGGGTCCTGAATTCAATCCCCGGTATTGCAAAAAATAAAAGTTTTGACAATACAGACCCAATCAATATTTAAATAATGTTTTAGAAAGGGCCAGACAGTGAATATTTTAGGCTTAGGCTTGACAAATTCATAAGGCTTCCATTTTTATTCTTTTCTTTACTTAAAAAAAAAAAAAAAAAAAAAAAATCTTTGGAGCAGTGTCCTGAGCAGCGAGGCGAGGGGGTCGCATCAGCCATGTCCTCAGGGCGGCGGCTGTGCCCGGGGGTCCGTCCCCAGGCTGTCTGAGGTACAACAAAGTTTATGCATTTTGAAGATGTATGAAGGTTGTGGACAGTACTTTTCAAGAACTTATCATTGAGGATAACTGAAGCAAATTGCATGTAATAAGATAGCTGCAAATGAACATACAAGTCCTTCAGCAATTGTTAAAAATACTTCATTGCCTCAGGTATAGCATGGTAATGTAGAAGGAACAATGAAGACAGTGGTCAAGAAAATATGAACAGAAGCAAATGATGAAAATATTTGATGTTGAAAAATTCGCAAGTTATGGGGGCTGGTGAGATGGCTCAGTGGTCTAAAGCACCTACTTAGAACAAGCTTAGCAAAGCACAGGGACCGCGATTCAATCCCCCCTGTACCACATGCCAGCCAGCCCCCACCCCCTGGTGGGCTGAGCTGGCCACACACACACACACACACACACACACACACACACACACAAATAAAACTAAAAAAAAATTCGCAAGTTACATAGAAAAATAGACTTGACTAATTATAACTGAATAATAAATTTTTATTTAAAATATATATATAAAAAAATCTTGCCAGGTGTTGTGGTACAAGCCTGTAGTCTCAGCACTTGGGGAACCTGAGGCAGGAGGGTCAACACAAGTTTGAGGTCAGCCTGGGCTACATAGTTGAGTTCAGGGCTAGCCTAAATTATACAGCAAGACCCTAACTCAAAAAATAAAAGTAAAAACTACTTTTAGTATCTAGATCATATGAAAATAGCCATAGGCCCCTAGTTTTTTATTATTATTTTTTTTTTTTTGTGGAACTGGGGATTGAACTCAGGCCCTTGCGCTTGCCACACAAGTGCTTATTCCACTAAGCTATCTCCCTGGCCCCTTTTCTATTTTTATATTTTAACTTTGTTTATTTTTACATATTTAGTACAGGGCCTACAGGGTCTCACTATATAGATCAGACTTGTAATGATCCTCCTGTTTTCAGCCTCCCAAGTCCTGGATTACAGGCGCATGCCACCACCTAAGCAGGTGCTTTAATTCACTGAGCTATCTGCCTGGCCTGGCCTCTAGTTTAAAGCTACAGAAACAGTGTTCAATTTCCTTAATTCTGTTATACAGGGAACTTTAGCCATGTATATTAGCTATGTTTAGTTCAAGCTCATTAACATGGGCTATGGGACCTTGGGTGTCATAACTCCTGCTCACCCTTCTAGCCTCATCTGAAACAGTTTTTCCTGTATACTGCTGTCTTACTGTTCTTTCAATTCTTTATTTTTTTTCCCAATTTTTTTTTTTTTGTGTGTGTGTGTATGTGTGTGGGGATTTATTGGGAATTGAACTCAGGACCTTGTGCTTGCAAAGCAGGTGTTGTGCTGCTGAGCTGTATCCCCAGCCAATTCTTTTAATTCTTAAAATTACCAATGTTTTTGCTTTAAGACCTTTCTTTTCTTTTTTTCTTTTTTTTGCGGAACTGGGGATTGAACTCAGGACCTTGCACTTGCCAGGCAAGCCCTTATTCTACTGAGCTATCTCTCCAGCCCCAAGACCTTTCTATATACTTCTTTCTGCCTGCCTTTTACTTAAATAGCCAATGACTGTTGAGTCTAAAAGTTTTTGGGGCTGGCGAGATGGCTCAGTGGTCTAAAGCACCTACTTGGAACAAGCTTGGCAAAGCACAGGG